CAATGTATCCAATGACCGTAATCGGAATCGAAAAGATCGAAAGCCAATAGCAACACGTACCTTGAACTACCGCCTTCAGGATCTCCAATCGGCCAGCGTACGATAGCGTATGACCCTTCCAAACTCCGATGGCATGCTCGATTTTGTCGAAAAGAGGTTGGTAATTCAGCACTCGAAGTTTTGACGCAGCGAGCGGAATACCTAAGTATCGAAAAGGGAAGGTTCCGGTGGCAAAACGGAATTCCTCCTCAATCGATGTTCGGTCGGCCACATGAACTCCGGCAAGGAATAAGTTCGACTTTAAGTTATTCACTAGGAGTCCCGATGCTCGCCCAAACTCAAGCACCGTGGTGGCAAGCGTACGAACAGAAGCTGATGCCTCTCGAAAAAAGCATCAAATCGTCGGCAAAAATGAGATGCGTCAATTTGTGCACGTGGCACATCGGGCGGAAATTGAGCTCTTGCTCCATCGCTCGAACGTGCAGCAATCTCGAGAGATATTCCATACATATCACGAAGAGGTAAGGTGATAACGGGTCCCCTTGACGAAGTCCTCTCATCCCCGGGAAAAAACCCTTCGTCACTCCATTAACCGACACCGTATAGGAAACCGATGTCACGCACTCCATAATCCATCGAACCACCAAGTCCGGGAACCCTAGCCCCACCAACATCGAACACAAAAAATCCCAATTTACGGAGTCGTAGGCTTTCCGTAAATCCATCTTGATCATGCACCGGGGAGAGATCCGTTTGCGTTCGTATCCCCTCATAAGTTGCTCCACCATATGTATATTGTCCGTTATAGATCGCCCACTCACGAAAGCAGATTGGGCCCGATCAGTAATAGAGGGCAACACCTTCTCAACACCTTTTTTTTTTTTTTTTTTGAAATTTTTTTTTCCTGAATTTTTTTCCCGGCCGGTCAACTGCCGTTGACCGCCGGAGACCGGCGTTGACTTTTTTTTTTTTTTTTTTTTATAATTTTTTTTTTCTTAAAAAAAATATTTTAATTAATATTACTGTCTTGGCTACTAAATTACTGTCTCAGACAGTAATATTACTGTTTGGGACAGTAATATTATGAATATTATTTTTTCGAACAGTAATATTATTAATATTACTGTCTAAGACAGTTAAATTACTGTTGGAGACAGTAATTTAACATCCAAGGCAGTAATATTAATTAAAATAATTTTTTTTAAGGAAAAAAAAATAAAAAAGTCAATTAACAGTTAAATTACTGTCTCCGACAGTTAAATAACTGCCGGAGACAGTAATTTAGCAACGAATACAGTAATATTAATTAAAAATATTTTTTTAAGAATAAAAAAGTCAATTAACAGTTAAATTACTGTCTCCGAGAGTTAAATAACTGCTGGAGACAGTAATTTAGCAACAAATACAGTAATATTAATTAAAATATTTTTGAAGAAAAAAAAAAAAAAAAGAGTCAATTAACAGTTAAATTACTGTCTCCGACAGTTAAATAACTGCCGGAGACAGTAATTTAGCAGCCAAGACAGTAATATTAATTAAAATATTTTTTTTTAAGAAAAAACAAAATTATAAAAAAAAAAAAAAAAAAAAAAAAGTCAACGCCGGAGACCCGGCGGTCAACGGCAGTTGACCGGCCGGAAAAAAATTTCAGGAAAAAAAAATTTTCAGGAAAAAAAAATTTTCAAAAAAAAAAAAAAAAAAAAAAGTCAACGCCGGAGACCGGTGGTCTATGGCGGCGACCGGTGGCGGCGGGTCAAAATTGGGGTCAAAATTGAAATTAGGGTTAAAATTGGTTAATTGATGAAATTGGGTTAAATTGGGGTGTAAATCATGAAATTGAAGTTAAATTGAGTTTCAATGAATTGGGGGTAATTTTAGTATATATAAAAGTATTTTCCTTATTTGCAAATAAGTTTGAATGAGTTGGATTTATTTGAAAGACAAAAAAGTTGGATGTCCCTCTTTTAATTAAGTGCCCTTGTCATGGGCCTATTTGCCATTACCCCTTAATTTATTAAACAAGTTTTTTAATGTGTTGGGAACCACACAATAACTACTTAAAATATCCATCAACACGTTTCGTGTGATATTTTCATTTAAGGGAATACATTCTAAACGGACGCCCCGTTAAAACAATAAAAATGGACTCCATTTACCAATTGACATGTGGACAATTTTGTATTAATTATGGTGTTAATTATGCACTCTCTCATATGGGACCCACTGAAGTATAAAATTCATTAACTAGCTATAATTAGTTTTCTTTTTAACCATAATTCATTTCGGCCATTTAAATTGCCAACAGTTTTTTTTTTCATTTTCTTTTAATATTTGCAGTTTTTCACTCTATATTTATTTTATTTTGCCTTTTCCTTTCTCGAGTTTTAATTTTTACTGTATAATGTGATTATATAATAATTAATCCTTTTATTTTTTTTTTAATTTATTTTACTGTATATTGCATGAATTGATTTTTGACAGTAAATAATCTCTTTTTTCTCGAAATTTATATTTAATGTATATTTATATATGATTATACAGTAAAATAAATAACCTTTTCTCTTTTTTCTTTGTATATTTCCTTTCCTCAATATTTATTTTATTTTTACTGTATTTGTTTTTGTATAAATAATGTGATTATATATTTACTGTTGTGCACTCTTCTTTTGCCTTTTATGTTGTTTAATTGGTCAAGAAGTAAACTCTCTTAAACGTAAATTAACCATGGTAATTACTAATTATAACAATTAATTAAGAAGTAAAACATGTTAACTTGTCCACATGTCACATGGTGAATGGAGTCCATTTTTATTGTTTTAACGGGGCGTCCGTTTGTAATGTACTCCCTTCATTTAAATCCACAAATTCAAATAACAATGCTTTTATTAGACACATGTTTTCATAAAACTGAACAAAAAACAAAAAAATGAAGAAAAAAACAAAAAACAACCAAAACCGACGCAATTCCTTGAAAACCACCACCACCAAGCCTCGCCGCCGCGGACTTGAGCAGAACCGCCACATCTCCGACTTGAACTCCGGTGTTCCCAACTCGAACATCGCCGCCAACCACCACCCTCTGCTTCTTCCTGTACCAAAAGTAGCACTTCGACCTAACCTCCGTCTCCAAATCCACCCGAAAAACCACCACCGCCGCCGACGAACCATTCTTCGAAACAGACGCAAACGCATCCACCCACGGCACACCGCTCGTGTTGGCCACGTCCCTCCGGTGGGTGGTCTTCCTCATTCCCTGGTAGAATCCGGGCAAGCCCAACGACCCGATTTTTTTACCGGGCGGGCCGCCGTACGAAAAGGTAAGGTTTAAATTACCGTAAAGAAGGCCGTTGAAGGGCATGGTGTTTTCAAGCTTGAGGTCGAAGAAGATGGAAGTGTTGGTTATATTGTAATGATTATGATAATAATTATTATTATTATCGATAGCGAATGTATCGAGGGCCGGAGCGTAGAAATCAACTATTCGGCATGAGGGTTTGTGGTTTTGGAAACTGAGGAGGAAGAAAACTATGATTAAAAATGGGATCCCTATTAGGATTTCTATGATTGATTCGCAGCAACCTTCGACTACTCCTTGGCGACAACCTTCGAATACGGCTGAGCAACAGAAGCCGACTGCTTCTCTACGGGTGGTGCGGCCGTTATCGTCGTCGTCGTCGTTGTTGTTGTCGTTGTCGTCGTAGTCGTGTGGCATTGCGGATTGGATGAATACTATTTTTTGTCGTTTTGTGTGTTTTGGAGTTGGGGGAGGTGAACAAGTACTGCGTATAAGGTTGTGTTACTATAAATAAAAACGAATGAATGAAAGTCAGACATTGAAAACATGTATGAATTGGTAAAACCTAAATAATTTTAGGGTTTTAAACGAAACTACATAGGGTTGGAATTATTCGGCCGGATGGTATCCCGGTTGGAATTATCCGGTTGAGTTTTTAAAGACCTTACACCTTTTCTTTGATTACTTACCATATATTTCTAATTTATTAATTTATTAACTAATTCCATTCTCTCCTATGGTGGTGTTTGCAAACGCTTTTTGAAAGTGATTATGAGTTATTATTATTATTATTATTATTATTATTATTATTATGCTGGTGAGAGTGGGTGTTGAAAAAATTGTAATAGAAGATCGAGCGATTGGAGACGATGTGTCGGGGAGGGGGAGGAGGAGGGGAAACAGCCCCTCTCCTTTGGAGATGCTCTAACTTTGAGGAAAATTGAGAAAAATGTAACTAAAACAAGAGGAAAACTATTTCCAAAAAAAAAAAAACACTAAAATAAATAAATAAATAAAATTGAGGGAAAACAATGGAAAACGCGGATTTGATATCGGATATCACGATCGGACATCTTCCTCTCACGGTCTGACTCATTAAATCGAAAATTTTATTACTATTTTTGTTGTTTTGTTCTTTTATGATATTCCCTTCAGTTTTTACCATTGCATGTAGAAAATTGAATGTTGAACCTTCTCTTCTCTAGCTGATTTAACCGCCAACCAATCGCTAGTCAGCTGCGACCTATGTAACCCTATACTCCAAAAAATTAGATACGTAAATATGAGAAAACGTACAAATATTAAAAATATAGGGGTAACTTCATAAATTCTAAAATAATATTATAAACATTAACATATATATGCTTATCGGAAATTATACATGTGTATCCATAAATTATTTTAACTTACAGTTCACAAATTCGTATTATCAATGCACAAATTATCTATCAGACATGAAATTTGTAATAGTATAGAATTAATATCTATAAAAAATATTAAAAGGCCACTAGAAGGAAAAAAAAAAAAAGCATAAAATTTAAGATTTTTGCAGACATACGTATACGCGGTCTCGAGTCTTTATTTAAAATATTTTTTTGATTTTTTTTGGGCGGAAACAAGTTTATATTCTTCATGATTACTAGAAACATCCCCGAAACTTCTAGGTATTTATGAAAACAGTCCCGAAATATTTCGGATGGAGATGTCATAGAGTTTCGATTTTCGAAACGTGGAAACGCATCTGTACGTAATAAAATATAGACTATAAACACATTAAACAACATGATAATAAAATAGTTTTTGGTCGAGCCGGTTATTGTTTTCAATTAACAAACATCTAACAAAGTTCGAGTGTTAAGTTAATTATGCCCTTCCCCAACCAAACGGGGCCTAAATGTTTGACATTGATGCTAACTACTACCTAGGATTTGAAATCATCTCTTTGTTTATAATTAATTATAATAAATTAAAAAGACATACTTGCACGTTTTTGTTTTTTTTTTTTGTTTTTTTTTAATATATTATTTTCATTACGCGTTGGACTATCTCAGGGGCGGAACCAGGATTAGAAAGTAGGGGGGGCTGACTAAAATTTCGGGGTTCGGGGCAACGCCCCGAAAAAAATTTTAGGTTCGCAAAACATTGAAAAAATAGGTTTATACTGCGAAAAAAATTACGACACATATCTATAATATCATATATATCTATAATTTATATAAAATTACGGAGAATAAACAAAAAATTTAAGATTAAGACACATATTTACAAAATCTTTGGGGGGGCCAAAAGTAATATTCAAAAAATATTAGGTCAAAATAGCTAAAAAAAATTTTTTTTTTTTTTCTTGGGGGGTCAACTGCCCCCCCTGCCCCCCCCCTGGTACCGCCACTGGACTATCTCATCTCATATTCTAATATTGAGTATTAACTATTAACTAGTTCAATCATATATAACTCTCATCAAACGTTATTCTATTGTTGCTTATCGATCACATACATGTCGGATAAAAATGGCTCGGTTGGTTGATATTATCGGCTATTTAATTATTGATTTTTTTTAAAGTATTTTTCACAAAAAAAAGATGATATTCTATCAAATTTTTTAAAAGATTTTTCAAAGGATATTTAAATTTTGAGAAAATTTATGCTGCGAAAATCACAACCTTAAAATCAAGAGTCTTTTGTATTAAATTTCTACAACTATGTAGAGGTCTATAAACTTATATTTTGAGCTTTTAAATTTTGCCCTCTTTAATATATCATTTTAACTTTAAAAATAAGAATTACAATTAAACATTTATAATATTTTTTTATTAATGAAAAAGTCGATTGTTCGGGTAATTATCAACCAATCAACTTTTGAGTAAACTAATAAGCACCAACCGATTCATTTGTTCGTGGATCGATCAAAATTACCTACCGGACTTATGGTAAATACAATTCTATAAATTGAGCTATTAAAATTGATTGTGGGTTAGCCATATTTGCCAACTTTACAAGCACATTTATTTAATTAGCTAAGCTTATATAAACTTCAATTAAATTGATGATGTAAATATTATTTTTGTTTTTTTATTTTCAATTTCATATAGTAAATGCTTTGAGAATTAATTAAATTTTAGAATTAATCTAAATCCAGAATTTCAAATTACAATGTGCTTCTTAATAAACATATTTTTAATAACTATGAACAAAAAACAAAAAAATGAAGAAAAAAACTAAAACCCACACACTTTGTTGAAAACCACCAACCCTCGCCGCCGCGGACTTGAGCAGAACCGCCACATCCCCGACTTGAACTCCGGTGTTCCCAACTCGAACATCGCCGCCAACCATCACCCTCTGCTTTTTCATATACCAAAAGTAACACTTCGACCTAACCTCCGTCTCCAAATCCACCCGAAAAACCACCACCGACGACGATGATCCATTCTTCGAAACAGACGCAAACGCATCCGCCCACGGCACACCGCGCGTGTTGGCCACGTCCCTGCGGTGGGCGGTCTTCCTCATCCTCTGGTAGAATCCGGGCAAGCCCAGCGACCCGATTTTTCTACCGGGCGGGTCGCCGTACGAAAAGGTTAGGTTTAAATCCCCGTAGAGAAGGCCGTTGAAGGGCATCACGTTTTCGAGCTTGAGGTCGAAGAAGACGAAGGTGTTGTTGATATTGTAATTATTATTATTGATCGAGTATGTATCGAGGGCGGGAGCGTAGAAATCGACCACGTGGCATAAGGGTTTGTGGTTTTGGAAGCTGAGGCAGAAACATATGAAGAGAACCGGGATTAGGAGTAGCCATCTGACGGTTAATTCGCATACGGCTGCGCACCAGATGTTGCTGCCGCCGTCGTTGTCGTACGGCATGGCGGATGATCGGAATTTTGTTTTACTTTTTGATTGGATGAATAAGATGATGAAGAAGAAGAAAGAAGGTTGTGTTATGATGTTATTATTTATTAGAAGGGAAAAAATAAAATAATAATAATGGATTATGTTTCTTTATATATATGAGTTAATTGCACAGATCCCCCTAATGTGATCTCGAATGGCTGAAAAAGTGCTCGTATTAAAAAATAATTAACAAGAACAATTTGTGTTTAGTTTTGCAAAGTACACTGCTTCTTTCTTCTAGATTGGATGTTGACTTACATGAAATGACTAATCTAGCGCCTATTTGCAAATAAATCAAATTATCCCCAAAAAGAAAAGTCTTAACTTTTAATCACTTGAGTTTATCTCTCTCCCTCTCATTTCTTCACCTCAGTCTGTGAGGGTATTTGGGTCTTTTTAAGTATAAAAAATAGATGCCCACTCGCACAACCGACAATTGTATCTTATGACAAACTCGAGGAAGCAGAGTTTTTTTTTTGCTTTGATTAATTTTCATAAGGAGTTATGTGCTAATATATTTGAACACTAGGATTTTTTCGGCCATTCAAGATTATACAGAGTTGGTTTTTGCATATATATATATATATATATATATATATATATATATATATATATATATATATATTTATATATATATATATATATAATATAAAAAAAAAAAAAAAAAAAAAAACAAAAAAAAAATCTAAAAAAAAAGTTATGAATAGTAAAAATCATGCATCTACTTATATTATATCATACATTGTGACTTAAATATTGGGATAGACATATTCAATAAATATTATATGACATCCAATTTCCTTAATTATATTATATTACACGACCAAGACAAGCAACACACTAACAACAAAAGTCAACGCCGGAAATCGGCGGCAGCTCTGCCGATTCGCGGCGGAGGTGAGCCGGACAGCCTCGCTTTGCAGTTTCCTACCTGAGGCGCCCACCTCCACGTCATTCCCAACTCGTAACCACCTCTTACTCGAATACCAAAACCAATAATACCCAAACCTCACCTCCACCGCCACCTCCACCCCAAAAACCGCCGCCGACCCGCCGGAAACAGCCTCTAAAGCACCTTCCCACGGCACCCCACGAGCCTCCACCACCCCTCTCTGGTACGCCGTCTCCCCCTTATCAAGAACAATTCCTCCCAAAGTGTAGTTCGCTACGTCGAGACTTCTCCCGGAGCCGTAAAAGAAGGTGACTTCACCATCGCCGCAACTTATAATATGACCTTCCGTCGGGTTTACGAATTTGAGGTCGAAGAAGAGCGTCGGGTTGACCGGAGCGTCGGCGGCGGCGGTGGGATTCTCCGACAAGTCGAGCGCCGGAATGTAAAGTTGCTGGAGGTAGAGTTTCGGCATATCGACGACGAAGGTTGAAACTAACCATATTGTGAAGATTGAAACAAAGCATATTATGAGGGTGATTAATATGATGAATATGAACCAATAATTCATGCATATGTAGCTTAGTGTGCTGAAACGACGTCGTTCCAGTGGTTGGAGTAATGGAGAAGTTTCATCATCCATTTTTTTTTAATTAGGTTCTTTTTTCTTTAGGTTTTGGATATATGATGAAAGGAGGAAGATGAGTACTATATATGAATTTGGAAGAATAACTTTTGTTTGGGGAAAATAATTTGAGCACTCATATGAAATATTACAATAATTTACCCAAACTATAAGTAATTAATTAAATATATAAAAATGTATCCTCTAAATGGGTTATTAAAAAATATTACACCTATAATTTTTAAAGTTCCTGCAATATCGATAATTACAATCACATTTGGAATAGTTTTGATTACAGCTGTCTTTGACTAGATATGTAAGGTTTTTGAGCGTGTTTGTGAGTGGGGTGACATGTAACAAGTATACAACACATCTTGTGCTATGGTTAATAAAATTCCTTTTCCGATTAAAAAAAATAGAATAATTACAATCACCCCTGGAACATTGTAAGAAATTCTAATGGAGTAATGCACTTGATCAGTTATTCTTTAGGGTTTTAATTTAATGGACTATTAATTTCAGGCTGCGGCGGTGGAAACAACATAGAGCAGGGGTGGCATGACTCACCTAATATTTCTTAAATCTTTTTTATTTTATATAAGATTTATAATTATTCGTCATCTTGCTCATGTGATTGCTAAGTCGTATAGCAACATTTGTAACGAGACTTCGACTCTTCCGATCGATCCTCAACTTTTGGCGACCGTGGCCTAATAAAAAATAGTTGAGAATAAAAGAAAATTTCAATGGGGATTTATAATACGGGTTGGAATTATTAACTGCGGTTTGAAAGAGCATCAGCTTATTGAAAGCTCTATAAGATTATTTTATCTTTGATTACTATTTCTAATTAATTTAACTAATTTCATTATTTATTTAATGATCAAATACTTTGGACACAAGTTGACCGAAGAGTTGGAGTTTATACAATAGGGTAAATAGCACTTGACCCCATTTGGTTTCAACGTTTTGCACTTCACCTCCTTCAGATATTGATTTGGTCACAGTACCCCCTAAAGTAAATAATATAATTTTTAAAAAACAATTAGTATAAAATTTTGAAATAACTAATATAGAATATACAAAATATATATTTAAAGAAAAACTGTTCTGCTTTTCTAATTAAAAGAAGGGTTTATTAGGGATAACCCCCTTGTTCATATTTTCTAATGAGGTAGATCCAATTTTTTTTCCCCTTTTTGAGATAGACCCAATTTTGCCAACTTGCAAAATATATTATATAATTTTCTTTTAATACCCCTGTTTTATTTTTAAACGGCATTTATTTCCTTTACTACGTGATTTGAGATTTGCTGATACGTTGCCTAAAATCACGGAATAAAATTACGTGAGATCATTGGCCGTTATATCAAATCGTGTACAATATTTTTCGAAGGTTCTCTTCAGCGTTCCAGCGGTTTTTTATCGTCTTTGAAGATTTCTGCACCGTCGTTGAAATAGGATCGAATTTGAGCGTTCGTTGTTGGACGTTGTTAACCGGGTATGAATGCGTTATTCGTTTTTATTTTTCGCTCAATGTCTAGGATTGTCGATTACGGTGGTTAGAAATTTTTAAGAGTTGTGTTGATACTTGATTCTATTAAGTAGAACGTTTTTTAACATAATTATTCCGTCATATATACATCGTTATTTTTGGCGGATGATGTTTGTTTGGAAGATGATTGACAGAGTTAGATGAGGATGGTTCACGCATATCGGACCAGAGTTGTTTTATATGAACATCGTAGTTGGTTTACGCATTAATTGAAATAACTGTCCGCTGTCGTGGAGTTCATGAGTCTGATCCCGGTCGATAGTTAGTTTATTTGTTTATAACAGCGGATTTTAGGACGTTGGGTAGTACATTAAAATATATTTCGTAGTATTTTTTAAGTTATCGTATGAATTTTGCATTTTAAGTTTATTTTTGATCATATTAATATATTTTTTAGTATTCTGCATTTTTAATGTCGTATCATATTAATATATACATCGTTATTTTTGGCGGATGATGTTTGTTTGGAAGAGGATTGACAGAGTTAGAAGAGGATGGTTCACGCAGATCGGACCAGAGTTGTTTTATATAAGCTTCGTACGTAGTTGGTTTATGCAATAATCGGAATAATTGTCCGCTGTGGTCGAGTTCATGTTTTTGATCCCGATCGATAGTTAGTTTATTTGTTTATAACAGCCGATTAAAGTGTGTTGGGTAGTACATTAAAATATAGTTCGTAGTCTTTTTTAAATTAGCGTATGGATTTTGCATTTTAAGTTTATTTTTGATGATATTAATGTATTGTCATTCAAATGTATTTGCAGTCTATTTAATCATTTGTTAGTATTCTGCATTTTTTATTTTGTTTCATGATTTTAGGTTTTTTCGATGGCGAATTTCGTACGGATTTTGTTGAGGTTTGGTGGGTTGGTTGCTATAAAGAGGTGTTTACGGTGTAATGGCTCGGTAACTTCGGTTAAGTTTTAAACCGTTGTAATACAGTAGTATACTATTATGAATACCGTATGATACTACCATTATCATTTTATTATACTATTATGAGATTATTAATGTACTAGAGTTTTAACTCGACATATTGGTTTGATTGTGTTATGATGTGTTTTATGTATTTTATCAAAACCCTAGATTGAAATTATGAGATTATTAATGTACTATTTTATTGGTTATGTTGGAATACTTTACGTTGGTGTTGTTCTCAATGTTCTTGTCATTTCAGTGGTATATTGTTTGTAACACAATTCATATCACTACTATAACCGTAATATACTATCATAGCAGATCAATGTACTATATTGAAATTATTAATATACTATGTGGTTGAATAATACGGGATCCATAGTCGATTAACGAGATCCATAGTCGAATTAGATCAATAAGATAGTCTATTACATGATATAAGGAAAATTACCCTAATTGATTAGTATTTCAAACAAACATATTATTCAGTTTCCATATATATTATTATTTTTCATATATATTATTATTTACCTTAATCGTTTTCATATAATAAGGAAAATCACCCTAATTGATAAGTATTTCAAACAAACATATTATTCAGTTTCCATATATATTATTATTTTTCCAATAGTCAATTAACTAAACCCATAGTCGAATTAGATACATGGGATAATCTATTAAAAGATATGAGATAGTCTATTAATTTTAAAACACAAATCCGCCGCCGTCACTTCTCAAATCTAGGGTTTTGATGATTCTTCGGCCCATAGTCGATTAACGAGATCCATAGTAAAATTATACCAGTGGGATAGTCTATTAAATGATATGGGATAGTATATTAATACAGATGTAATTCGATTATGCATCTCGTTAATCAACTATGGGCCGAAGAATTATCAAAACCCTAGATTTGAGTAATCCTAGATTTGAGTAACCCTAAATTGGAGCAGTGACGGCGACGGCGACGGCGACGGCGGCGGCCAGCGACGATATCACTTCTGGTGGATGTCCTGCCCATCAATTGTTGCAATATCACTGATTTAGTGCTCGAATTCGGTATGCGATTATAACAGATCTACAATTACACAAACGTGATAGTCGATTTAGCCAAAACATATCAACAAATCGATGGATGATAGCGATTCAGCGAGTGGCGACGATGTACCTACGACAGCTTGCTCGGAGTGCACGAAAATCGTCGTTTCACGGCAGTGCAGACGTCTTCCCCTTTCAATCGGCCGTACCGGGAAGTTGTTCTGGGAGGTTTTGCAGTTTATTCGATAGTGGGTTTGGGATGATAGTGATTTAACGGGAAAATAGGAAGGGATTTGATTTTATTTCAAAAGGTAAAGTAACGGGTTTTGTGGGATTTGATTAAGAGTAATTATGTAATTATGAAAAGTTTGGGCTGTTATCAAAATGGCAAATATAAATTTGGGTCTACCCATATTATTTGAATGTTTAAGGGGGTTATATCTAATAGACCCTTAAAAGAAAGGTAAGAAATGAGTGTAGGAGTTTTTATTAAAGGAAAAATGGGTATTAACATAATATTTTAACTTAAAAACCTTCGATCACTTCAAATTTGGGCTGGTGAGCTGTAATTTCGGTATTTGAACGGTTTGTCAAACGGCAGCTATCAATTGACAACCACAAGAGGGTAAAATGACCAAATCGATATCAGAGGGGTTGAAGTGAAAAATATTTAAACTATTACCCTATAAAATTAAATATTTCTTTTTTATATATAAAATAATTTATAATTCTTTTTTTTTTCTTGTTCCCACAATGTCTATTTTGAGGTGCAAACTAAAGTCCCATTGTCTCTCGAAAGGCATATATGGTCGTGTTGGGTCGAGGAAACTCAAATGGTCTTCGATCTGAGTCCCTCAAAGGTGACATTATATCTCTCGGGAATAAGCCCGATTCTATGATGCCAACTTCCAATTTCGCAGGATTCTCGGTCGTCTGAGCCAATCAAGAGGATTTTCAAAGTACGCATTTTCAGATGGCCGTCCGGTATTTTACGCTGCATTTCGAACAGACGTCTGAGCTTATGAGTTTGCACAATAAGGAAGTTTCAGCTGCAGAAGGAATCTCCTGCATTTTTTGATAAATCTTCGTGTTTATTTGCTTACTTGGTTTTACTTGCTATTTGCGTTTACTACTTTAGTTTAATTTAGTTATAATTTAGTTTAGAGTAAAAAGCAGTTTGCCCCCTAAACTAAGGGTCGATTTGCACTTTACCCCCCAAACAAAAAAAATTTGCACGTTTTTACCTGAACTCGTTAATTCGTTGCACGGTGCCCCCTAAACTCAATTTTCCGGCAATTTTAACCGGAATGTGAAAACATGTGCTTTGCACATGAGATTTTGA